TAAACCTGTGAATGAGATATCATATCTAGAAACCCCCGATATTAACAACCGTACAGGTATTCCTCTACATGGAGATATTTAAAGTGCCTTCCATTTCTAGGATACCACGACTGACTAATTGCCTTATGAACCCACAGAGGTTCTAGTTTACGTCAAGAACCCCCGCCGGGATACCCTGTGATACTATGAGCGCTCAGTGTAACTCTCGTTATGACACATCATAAAGTCAGCCGAACTAAAAGGAAAGAATTCCCGTGAATAATGACCTCACCTGTTAGCTCATGGGTTTTTTCTAGTCAGAAAACAAGTTTCCTGCCTAAAGCTGAATGGCCGGGCTAAATACGGCAAGGTTGTAGGAAATCCCTAAACCAAGAAGCAAGCACAACCTAGGAAAGCTACTGCCCTGCCAAAATGTAATGTGTCTTTGTAAGTCAATTTTGAAATCAGACTCTCAAGAAAAGGAAATGCTACTTCATGTCACAACATCTGCTAAAGTGCATTTACTTCCAGCAGAAACAATAGGACAACTCCACTTGGCACTTATCTTACTGAAAAAGGCCGAACTGCTAAAAAAGTTGCAACACCATAAATAGACATGGTAATGGTTTGTCCACTCCAATGAAGGGGTTTCTGTGGACTCTGCACTTTTCCATGCCCCCTGCATCTCCTCACTCCTGTAATAAGTAAGCAAATAACTAAATAAGCAAATGAGCAAAACTACTAAAACGACGGAACCTTAATATAACCTTTTCAGCAAGAGATAAAAAGCGTATCGATTGGTGACTGCTGAAGGACATCGTTAAACTCTCAACGTTTGATTTCATTTCTTCTTCTCTTATTTTATTTATTTATTTATTATTTGGTCGCCCACAGGCATCTCTGTACTGACTGACCCTGCTAGTTCAACTATTAAAGAATTTCCCTCTCCAAGGAGGCCTGATGTAAACATGATAATCTGTTTGGCGGCTCCTATGATGGGCCATGAATAAAACATACGACAACCCAGTTGGAGTTCAAGCAGTTCACTACTTGTTACCAGAGAGAATGTTTGGAAGCTCATGGAACACTTCACCATGCTTAATCCCAGAGGCCTGGAATCCCATTCTTGGTTCAGACTAAGCCACAAGAATTGTCTCTATCTATTGGCCTTCTGGTCAACCACCCTACAATATCTTGCTAAACAGACCTGATGCTAGGGATTGGATTTGAAGGCTCCTCTAATTGTGGCAGAAAGCAAGTCTTTGCTTTTAGCATGTATGTACTGTATCCTTGACAACAACAACAACAACAACAACAACAACAAAATGTTGACTAGGTGAGATTTCGAAAAAGAAGTCTGAAGACCAGAATGAAAGAGCTAGAAAGCAGCTATATCTGTTGTATGTAACAACAGTGCACACACAGAAATCAAAATGAAAGATACCTACGTGCTTCTGTATAACAGCAAAAATAAGTGATTGGATATTTTTGTCCTTGATTACCTGTATAACCATAAAAAGAAAGGGTTGTGCTATAATCGCTGCACTAGCAAATCAAAGAGGCAAAACCTGTCCCTGCTTGGGTGGATGCTGTTGGGTGGATAAAATCAGAGAGGAATTATTTAATATGACCTTTCCTACACAACAAGAGAACAATTGTTGTTATAATTCAGGTTTGTTTTTAAAGCAGGGTCATTAAAAAACTGCTTATAACACATTTTTTTCCTGGAAATCTCTCCCTTTGTGCACTGTCCTTGGCCATTAATTCTCTAATTATGTTCCTGCATATATTTAATTTTTGATCTCCTGTAGAAGGAACCATAAAGTGAACACTTTATATAAAGACGGTTTTATATTGCTATGTAACAGCTGCTATTGACAGAACAACTTTCCTGGGACTGTCTTTTGTCTGTCAACAAGTTCTCCTTATCATCTCTGACATACTTTGTACTTTTTACATGGTTGCCATTATTCTTTATTTCAAGGAAAAAAATTAAACGCAATGCTGAGTACTGGCAACATTTGGAAATTTAAAGTGCATTTTTGCATTCCTAGTATGCTTTAGAGTAAGTGTGATTTGGAGAGTGCGTGTGAGTGTGTATGGTTTCTGTAAAATTCAGCATTCTACAAAGAGCACTGCCAACATACAGGGGCATAATGAATGTAAAATAATAAGTTAATGTCCAGAACACATCTACTTTAAAAATATTATAAATAATAAAATTTGCATCTACTGCATATGTATAAGATCTCATCTATATTATTTATGCACCTCCGCTGTAAGATTTAGGTGACTTAATTTAAATATACTGTCTAACTCTCAGTAAATCATTATTGGGGAAAAAAAGTTGGATTTTAAAAACTTTTTGAAATCATAATGAAATCTCTTTTGAACAATTCTTTGAAAAAAATCTACATCTAAATACTCCTTATAGTATTTGGTGAGAAAATTATAGTAGCACCTGACTCATCAGCCTTACCCTGAAGTATGATGTTCCACATAAGCAAATTTTTCTGACAATTGCAGTTTACCCCCTCCTGTATTTTATGAAAATCAAATGAGACAAAATATAGAAAAGTGCTTTATAAATGTTAAAATGTATTATAATGGATACTATCTATATATTCAGTATGTTACAAACTTGCTTTTACTTTTTTTTTTTTCATTTTTGTTTATTTATTTTGAGAGAGAGAGAGAGAGCGAGCATGAGCAGGGGAGGAGCAGAGAGAGGGAGACAGGAAATCCCAAGCGGGCTCCGTGCCGTCATTGCAGAGCTTGATGCAAGGCTCAAACCCGTGAACCATGAGATCATGACGTGAGCCAAAATCAAGAATCAGATGCTTAACTGACTGAGCCATCCAGGTGCCTCTACAAATTTGCTTTCAGATAATTGATTTGTAAAAATCTTTCCAAAATATTTATTTTCCTGCCATCTTAAGCGGCATATATGAAATACAAATTTTCCTGTATTTAAAAAAAAATGTTTATTTATTTTTGAGAGGTTGGGGGAGGGGTGGGGGCGGTGCAGAGGCTCTGAAGGGGGCTCTGGGCTCTGAGCTGACAGCAGATAGCCCAATGCGGGTTCGAACTCAGAATCATGATATCATGACCTAAGCTGAAGTCAGATGCTTAACCGACTGAGCCATCCAGGTGCCTCTTGCCCTGTATTTTTTAATGGAGATGCATTAATTATCAACAGTAATTGTAGGATTCTGAAATTTTACAAAGGTACCCTCTGCAATATCTTGCCCTTGATAGAGGCTCCACGTGGTTATATTCTTGTTGGTGCTGTTCTGTTCTTTTAGTTCTTTTAGTTCTTTTATGGGTAAGTGTTCTGTCCTCTAGCTCTGTGAAGCTGTCAGTCCAGTTGGCTTTTTTCATGCCCTCTTTGTTCTCCTCCCTTCTTTTTCTTTCTACTTTACTACTTGAGTCTGCTGTGGTTTAGGAAAACAGATAAACAATCCCCTTAATCGTGTCTGAACAGGAAATAGGTCCGGGTGAGGATCCAGTAGGTGTCTGTAAATTTTGGCAGATGTGTTTCTGTATAAACTTTTTGGAGTTTATATTCAGGCTACCAAATGTAAACTCATTGAACAAGTATTTATTGAGTGGCCAGTGTGTTTCAGGCACATAATTATACAGACACAGCCCTTGTCTTCAGAAAGCTTACAGTCTACTTGGAGAGACGCACACAAACCACATGATTACCCAAATATTTAATTGGACCGGATGGATGCTATGAAGAAGAAATGCAGGATGCTCTGAGCACACTTACAAGAGGGCACCTGAGCTAATCTAGGAAGGCTTCCTTTTAAACCGAGACCTGGAAGAGGTGCCAGATAAAGAAAATAGCATATAAGGATATTGTGTAGTGTTCACAGAATCTTTCTTTCTAGAATCTTCTAAGTAGGTGAAATGGTTAATTTTAAAGACCTCTTAATAAACAGGTAGTTTACTACATAATTTCTTTCAAGGAATTTTCAAAATTCCTTTGATGATTGGCTGTAATTCAACTTACTTTCACCTGCTTCTCCTTCTGGACCTTAGAGGTATTCTTCTCTCCATCTCGAGGCATTTGCTATTTAATTGTGGAGTATGGCTCTTCTGTAACCAGCCACTTTTTCTGCCTTACCTTGAGGACAAATTTTTAATTCCAGACTGTACTCGGCTCTCAAGCTGACCATAGAACTCCCACTGACAGCAGTGAGAGCTGTGCCTGTATATCTAGGAAAGTACACTGCCCTCTGTGTCACTGTCAGACTCCTCTGGCACAGAGCCTGGAAGCCCGAGTGTATGTGTGAGTCTCTAAGGAAACGTCCCTCTCTGCAGTGCCACACTAGAAATAGTGTGAATGGAAGCAGAGAAACTAGATGAAAAAGAAGGGCATGGCATCAGGACTGGTACCTGTTATCCTGCCAACCACAGCAGTAGAAGGAGGGGTGGAAGAAATTGCAAGCATTTTTTTTTCCAAGACTAGATTCTCTATTTCACAAAATTGTCAACTTACAGCCACAGATAGATTTTTAATAATTAGCATACTCGCTAACACACACAAGGCCTGGGCTAGGGTACAAATGGAAGCCTGAACTTGGGACGAACCCTATTCCCTTCCCGCCCCCTGCTCCGTTCTGTACGGCAGGGGCCTACCCAGCATGTGTCCAGCCTCCATCTCTGGCCTGCCCCCACTCCAGACAGCTACACCCTTAGGAGGACTGACCCAGGGAAGAGGCCCAAATTGGCCCTGGAAGTGGGCTTCAGGCCATTTGGACAGGGAATTTCTGGAAACACTTGTTCTTAACCACTCACTAAACTGTACTGCCTTAAATAATGGGGAAATACGTAGTGGTTTGAAATTGAACATACATGGGTTTTAAGGATGAGAGGGCCGTGCAACTTCGAAAACTTGCTTTTTAAGTCAGTGCTTCTCAGGCTTCACGTGCGTGAGAATAATCCAGATACCGTGTTAAAATGCAGATCTTGAGTCAGTCCATCTGGGGTGGGGCTCCAGATTCTGCATTTCTTACAAGCTCCCAGGTGATCTGGGTCTAGAGCCCACACTTTGAGTCACAAGGCCTATGCGAATATTAATGGTTTCAGTTGTCTATGGGGGTGTTTGTGTGTGAACATGCTGTTACTTCGGGATGGGAAGTTTTAACAGTGAGTGTAAGAAAGAAAAATCACATGATACCGTGAGATTAGAAGACCCAGCTTTTAGATTTACCATTGTTAAGATTCTTGTTTCAGATGTGTCCCAGACAAACAGCCTTCTATACCTATTCCTTCTCTGTATGAATCCGGTATCAGTGATGTCACCAGGTCTCATCCTTGAATTGGGCTCTCAAGTGTTGCTTCAACAGCCTTCTAAAATCTTACAGATTTCTAAGATACATATTAGAGCCAGTGGAAGACTAAACGTCTCCTGGTGCAGTAAAGAAATTTTGATTAGATTTAAACAGCTGTCATCTCTGAAATTTCCCTCTCTAAATCATCTTCTGCTTTCAACAAGCTCTTACATGTTGCTTTCTTGGATGGATGCTGCGATTGGTACACCTCTAACTATTCATGTTAACTGGGACCTGTGACATGGAGCTGATATATATTTTAGAACATCTTCACCAGCTTAAAAAGGCACTTGGCTTAGAGAAATTTACTCTGGTATCTTCTTTGCCACAATAACTCTATTTCCTTGGATTAAACAAAATTCAATTATACGAAGTAGGGCAATGATGTCACAGGTCGCACTGCTGAAAGCAGGCTTGAAACTATCACAGACAGATAGCTTTCGTTTGACTTAGAGGAAATGCGATCTACAGCACATATGTTTTCAGAAGCAGCTTAATCTCAATCATCAAGGTCCCTGGGCTTATGAGAAATGGCAATTTAAAATGTTGACATTAACGAAGATTACGTAATGGAAAATTGACTAATGTTTTAAGGATAAATCTATTTCTAGATTGTGTTATTCTGCATTTTTAAAATAAAATGTGAAATATTCTGTGGGGTAGTGGACCAAACCTCCCCCTGAGAATTTATAGATTATTAACTGAAATGGCAGTTTTCTTGTTAGTCATGATCAAAGCGATTTGGGAATGTCTAAAAACATGTGAAAGTTGATTACACATTTTATTACTGGCACCACATTGACTGGCCACCCATATGATGGAGCAATTGTGACTGTGGATTAGTTCCAACTAGCCTCAGGGAAAGAGCACACTGAGTTGAGACCTTTAGAAAGCATTTATTTGCTTGCCTCATTTAATCAAGTGACTTTTATAATTTTCCAGCTTTTACCCTTATTTATTTCACATAATGAGAAAGAAAAAATAAATATCTTATTTCTGGCATTTACACAAAAGATATCCACCATTTAAAATGTCATTTCAAGACACAAATACCTATCTTTTTCAAGAAATTTATCTGTTTTGTTGTTCAATGAGACAAAACATGCTTAAACACAATAATTCTACTTGATCTTAAAGTAACCAATATTTGTCTTCAGAGTCATACTTACCTCTCAAAATCCTATCCATTTTGGAAGACCAGGAAAATCCCTTCTCTTCCAGGAAATCTGTATTCCTCTAGTCAGAATTACTCTCTCACTCTCCTATACTCTGGCAGCAGAATTATGCACATTTACGAATAAGTCCTTTATATAATCTTTATGGAGTGCAACTAGATACGTTTGGTACTAGAAAGTGAGCTCCTGGGAAACAGAAATAATTATTCATTACATATTTTTTATTTAATGTATTTAATTCATTTAAATTTAAGTGTAATACATTTGTTTAAGTGTATGTTTGTTGTTATTTTTCCGAAAGAGCATAACCCCAGTGCTTTCTCATAATAAACATATATTGTACAATGCTCGAATTGAAACTTCCTGATTGTCAATGATTGTAGATGAGTGAATTGTGGATGAATTAATTAAGATCACCAAATCATCATACTGACTTTTTAAGAAATAACCTATGGTAAATGATTATTATAAAGTATTAGAGCCCTGGCAATACGTCAAAATTTAACATTTGAACACAATTTGGATAAAATAAAATCACATTTTAAAATATGTTTTGTGTCGTTAATATGGAAATTTTAAAATTTAACGTTGTTTTATTTTTAAAAATTCAGGGAGCATTTACCTCTCATAAATAAATAAATAAATAAATAAATAAATAAATAAATAAAATCATGTATATATAATGCATAGCTCATAGGATTTCTATTGCTGTTATTTCAAGATACTCCATTTGTATTCAAAATACTATTGTAGTTTACAAAACAGTGTGCCACTCAAACTAACACATAAATAAACAACACATCCAGTGATCATTTCTGTATACTGTTCACTATTGTAGGAAACTAAATAAGACAGGCCACTAGAGAATCAGAGCCAACATTAATGCTTAACCCCTGGCTCACGTTTTAATTTTTCATTTATTGCAATAAAATATATAGATTTATATATTTTCTTTTCTGCTTTCCTTTTTCTTTTAATGGGTGACCTTGGCAACTTTTCCATTTTCCCTATTTTTAGAAGATTGTTAACAAGTCCACAGGCATCAAGAAAATATACTCTCTGGAATATTAGAACTCAAGAAATAACATAATGACAATCTACTCCTCCAGCTCAGAGAACCCCTTTACAGTGGCATTAAGAGGCTTTCAGATGAAAAAATACATAAATTAGTCATTTAAATTCAGGCACTGAAGTGAGAAAAACTTGGGTTTACCAACCAGTTCTACCACTTGCTAGTTGAATGACCTTGAGAAAGATATTTCATCTCCTTTAGATTCAGTTCCTTAATAAGGAACAATGGAGATGATAACAAGGCCTACCTACCCTAGGTTGGTTGGAGGATTCTAATCCATGTAAAGCACTTACCACTGTGCCTGGCAGAGAGCCCATCCTGAAACTGACGTTTCAGGTCTCTTCCTGAGAGCCAGACCTTGCCATCCATCAGCTAGTCAGGCACGTGAGCTTGTGAGCCTGTTTGTCTCCTCACCAAGTGTTTCTGTTTTTGTTTACTCCAAGCAAAAGGAGTTACCAGATTGTAGCAATTAGAAGAGAAAGTGAGACCCCTCAAAGTCAGAGAAAGAAAATCAAAGCAAAGACTTAGTCACTAAATCTTCCAGAAGGAAAGAGAAAGAGGAGCTAAAGCTTGATGGATTACATTCTGAATTCAGTTTCTTAAAAAGGAATTTTTTTTGTGGTAAGGGACAATGGAAAGATACCAAGTTACAATACAAACCCAAGGGCAAGCCTCATGGAAATCAAAGACAGTGACACTACAGGCACATTGTAGAATAAGGGAATGTTTGAAAAGAGAGGGCTCTGTATTTACCATTTTGCTTGATCTACATATCAAAAGCATCCTCCAACTGTATATAGAAGATCCTGGCAGGAAAATGTTTCATATGAAAAATAAAAACTAAAATAAAATAAAAAAGAAAGAAAGAAGAAAGTGCTGGAGGCCATGTCATTTTTTTTTCATCGTATTCTCTTTCACAGATTTCGGGCCAGGTGCGAGTAGCTCATGCAAAGGAATACCTTCCCAATCACCACAAAAGCAAAAGAAGATACTGGAAAATACAGCATCCTCCGTACTTAAAATGAGATAACCTAACTGAGAACTAGAAATGATCAGGGAAAATTAAGTGGCTACTGCATGAAAAAGCACACCTTATTTTTTTCCATCTAATAAACTATTATGTAACAAGTAAAAGCCCACTGTGCTTGCTAGGAAAAAAGAAACTTTTGCTCAGCTAACTATAGAAATATTTTTATTTGATAATGTATTTTCCTAAGTTCTTTTGAATCAGTAATATGGAAATACTGAAAGTCAAATCTCCAATGAGTTGAAATAAAGTGATTAGCTATTAGAAAACCTATCTGTATAGCAGATCCCTTTACAGCAAAAACAAAAACAAAAACAAAACAAAACTTAGCTAAGAGATGTCAATTTTTTTTTTTACTACAAACCAGTTAATAGGAGTTTAAACTTATTTTCAGGTATGTTGTTGTTTAGCAGCAAAAAAAAAAATCTAAAAATTTTTAAGAATTAAAAAAAATAAAATAAAATAGTTCGGTTTTAGAAAAAAGAAATGATTTCACTCAAAATGAAAGGCTCAAATTTGTCATAACACTCATTAGTCAAATGTGTGATTTACTTTGATTCAAAATTAACTTCAGGGTTTTCACAGGGAAATTTCATTAATACTACTTACACAATTATTACACTTACAGAAATGTGTGGAGAATACACTGGCTTTTATAAGACTCCGATTCTAATCCTGACGCGACTGTGTTCCAGTTGTGATACTAGACAACTGTCTCACCCTTCCTGAGTTCCATAAAAAATAATGATAAAACTCCCTATTATTTATGTCCCATTGTTACTGGGAGATTTGAATAAACTAACATATGGAAATGACTCATTACAGTTCCTGAAATATTTGAAGAGGAGGAACTGTTAACACCCTTTCTCCATAAGAGCACCACCATTGAGACAACTGTTCAACGTGACCTTCCTCTCCCATATTAGTTGTATCAGTTGTATTAGTCATCAAGTCCTTCATTTCTACCTCCTAAATATCTCTCGATTATATCTTTTTCATCTTCCCTTCCACTTCCCAAGTAAATCCCCTCATTCATTTCCTTATGCCTTGACTACAATAACGACCATGTAATTCACTCTTACCTACAGACTCAACCACTGCCAACCCATTCTTTATGCAGAATTCTTTCTAGTAGAATAAATATAATTATATTATTTTCTGCTTAAAACTATGACTTCCTGATGCCCATAAATAGAATTTAATTTCCCTAGAGTGAATTAAAAAAGGCATTTACAATTAGTTAGTTCAACATCATATTCTATTTATCACATACTCTATGTAATAAGGCCACTACACTATCCTTTTCCGTGGACTTCTATCTTTGCACTCACTGTTCCCCTTACCTGTGATGTATTTCCCACCCTCTGACAGTGGACAACTATTCATCTTTAAGACACAGCTGAAATGTCATCTCCCACATGTCACCTTCCCAGAGCACACAGGAAGAATTTATCATTCCTGCAGGACTTATTTCCATTATACCACACCATATTTTATTAATTGCTTGTTTACATGTCTGTCTCTACACTAGACTATGAGCTCCACTGCACAGCACAGAGCTAAGAATGTGGTAGATAATATTTGATAAATATTAACTGAATTAATGATTGAGGACAATAATAAAAAAAATTGATGTTACAATAGGTCTGCCCATGAACTAAAGTCCCAAATTTGCAAGTGCCTTTTTATTTTTACTATATATTTGTAGCTTCTGTCCACAGAGAAGTGGAATTGAGATCAGTATTTAGGGAAGTCAAAAAAAAAAAAAAACCACCTTTTGAGTCAATTATATTGATGTTACAAGCAAATGTATCTTTAGCCTAAATTGTCTCAAGTTTAAATGTCTCAATTTACTCTGCTTGTTTAGACACAGCATGAACACAGAGGTATTTTTGTTTTTCTTAGAAAAATACAAATTTTAGATAGCCTATTCTCTGCCTTTGCGTGCAGGCACAAAGGGAAGTGGGACATACGTGCAACAGCAAACTGACGTTTACATACGGATTCATCGCTGAGTCTCAAAGAGTTCTCATTCAGCACACTTTGCACCCTCGTTCCCCTTTCTACAAAAAAAAAAAAAAAAAAAAAAAAAAAAAAAAAGTACCTCTGCCCTGAAGTAAGTTGGTCTGAACAGTGACCCTTAATTTCTCTAGTCACCCAGGTTGCAAATTAATGAGGGGTTGCCAGTGTGTGACCACACTCCCCAGCAGCTGAGTATTCGAGTGATGGGCACTGGCCTGCCTTGAGGTTTTGAGTCCTGAAGTGCTGAAGGATGGAGGTCAGCACTGTGGAGTCTTAAAGCTGGTGGCAGCAGCAGCTCAGCCCACGTAGAGGCGATTTTCCGGGAGAATAGTCAACCATTCTGAGCATGGGCAGAATTCAAAGTTCCAAGGACCAGTGGCCACCATCGATTTGGGCTGAAAGTCTAGGCTTCAAACCTTGGTGTGGAAACAATGCTTACCTTGTGCTGAGATGAAAAACCATCCTTATCAACAATGGAGACAACAAATGTGTCTGGCAACCTTTTTCTTGGATCCGCACTGTTGGTGCCATTAAATTCATGAGTTTTCTAGTGTTCCTTCTGTACAGGGAGCTTCTATACTTTTTAATATTGTATAATTTTGTTCTGTTGGGTGAGGGTCTGAGTTCTTTAAGCTGCAAACTTAATTCTTCCCCAAACTGGTATTCTCCATGCAATTACCATAAACCAATACTGCAATCAAGGGTAGTCTTTAAAAAAATAAAAAGTACCTCTATCTTTAGGATGCTGTGGATTTTAATGAGAAGATTCAATGGCATTTCTTTCTTTCTTTCTTTCTTTCTTTCTTTCTTTCTTTCTTTCTTTCTTTCTTTCTTTCTTTCTTTCCTCTCCTCCTTTCCTCTCTTTCTCTTTCTCTCTCTCTCCCTTCCTCACTCCCCCTTCCTGTCTTCCTTCTTTTCCTTCCATCCTCCCCTCCCATCCTCCCCCTCTCTCCCTCTTTCTTCCTTCCTTCCTTCCTTCCTTCCTTCCTTCCTTCCTTCCTTCCTTCCTTCCTTTCGTCAAGACAATAAGATAGAAAAGTAAAATGCCAAGGTGTACAACAAGAGGAGTCCAGCTATAGTAATTAACTTCATTTTAGTGCCCAGCATAGTGCTGACAGTGAATAAATGTTCCTTGCTGGTGATGAAATGCTAAACATGAGAACCTGTGTTTCTGGTTCTACACTGTCTTAAAGCTGCTATTATTCAGCATTTATTAGATACCCACAGAGTATGAGGCATAAACATGACAAGTAGAAAACACACAGTCCCTAACCTCTAAATTACAAAAGACAGATGCACAGGAAAGTAGGTGGATCTTGAAATTGTTTCCAAATGGCTATTTGTAGGAGGATTTAGAGAGTAGGAAAACCAAAGGGAGGCAGGGTGGGGTGGACAGGACAGAGTGTTAGGAAATGGGAGGAGGAAGAGGAGTTAGTGTTTTCGTAAAAGGAGCAGGGTAGGAAGTCAGACCAATTTCCAGAAGCATAAGAGTAAACAGGAGAGATCCACTGGTGATACTGAAGAACCCAAGGGAACAAGGAGGGGAGAGGGTTTTTCTATCGGCTCCCCATGTCCTCTTTGCTAGTAGGGACACTTCCTCTAGCTTCTCTGATCGGCAATACGAGAAAAAGCATGATTATTTTAAAGTAAGACACTCCCATGCTAAATGAATGGTCTTGTCTTTACTAGCCTCAGTTTCCTCATCTTCAAAATGGAACAATAATACTTCAAAGAATTCACCTAAGAAGATGAAGCATGTAAATGCCCCATACTGGTGCCTTGTACCTCCTTTAGGAAGCAAATCCAGAGTTCTTGGAAACTTAGGCTAGTGTTCTAATCTCTGATCCCAATTTCCTGCTTTTTTTTTTTCTTTCTCCTGTGTGTCAAAAGGGGTAAGATATCTTTTAGAAAAGAAGATGAAATTTAAACAAGCAATATTGGTTAGTAAATATGTAGACAGGATTTATGTTAATGCTAAGGCTTCATTTCTAACTGAATTTTGGGCCGGTGAGATTTTTAACCTACTTAGTAATTTCTTTTTAGCAGTCAGATAGAGACCAAAAAAATCACAGTGGGAGCCTTGTAAAATGGCTCTTGGGGCCCTCAAGGGCATTCTCTCAGTCTTTTCATCAACAGAGCTGGTCTATATCGTAAGTCTTATTTATAAGGAGGCTTTCAGGCAATTTCACACTGCTTTTCTCTGATGCAGCCCCAAAAACATGTAAACCCAAGGGATTAGTAGCGACTTAAAGGGAAAATAGTGTAAAGTTACACCACGAACTGAGGCGGTGCAGCTGCCTTGATGCACTGTTCCCTTGGGCTCCTACAGTGAATGAAACTTATCTAAGTGGCCCAGTCCACTCCCACGCTGCCAGACCCGCGGCCCTTTGTTACAATGTGCACGAGAATTGCTCCATCTCAGGGGGCAGCCGAGTCTGTAATGACCTGCATTGTAGAAGCACACAGGAGTTCACTATCTAGGAATGAAGACTTAAATCTCCTTTTATATTTCTCTGTTGACAGTTGTAAGCAGGGCTGTGTAGTAAACAAAATGTTTATTCTGACAGCGTTGCTTTCATAGGCAGTTCAGATACATTTATCGAATAGGGCAGCAGTCTGAAATGGAAATGAAATGGGAAGACCAGCTGAGGACCATGGAGAAGTCTTGAAAAAGACTGACTATTCCCCAAATGCAACCATCATGAGGCTGGCATACTTACACTGATGATCTCATCCAACCAATAATTAATAAGTGTGAATTAGGCTAATGAAATCAGATAGAGTAATGAAAGGCAGCCTCCTACTTGTTAGCATTGCTATTTTCTTCATTATTTAACCTCTAACAGAAACTGAATCTGCTGCTCCAGGTCTAATTGAGCCTATTTGACTTCGATACAACTTTTTAAAAACTGTTCCAAAGAGCCTTTACGAAGGTATATAATTGTGACCATATTAAGAATCTACAGGACACATGCAACATCAGGAACATGGTTCAAATCAGAGCAACTGTAGGCATTTCCCGCTCCTTTGATAAGACTAAATTGCAAGTAAAGTAAATGATGAAGAGGGATTTTCTTTGAAGGCAAGGATTTTTAAAAGTCAGAGACACTCCATCCCCCAAATGACAGCTTCTTTAATTTTTGACACGCACAATTTAGTAAATAATTAAACTATAACCTTATCTCTCTCTCTGAGGGTAAGCACCATAGTATGATCTGGAAAAGTAATGGAGATCAAAACTGAGCTCTTTGGCCTACAAGGCGGAGTCAGGAAGACTTGACCTGGAAATGAAACGGGGAGATCACCTTCCGTGATGGGAATGTATGTGCTGCCACCGTATCCTCAATCTGCAAGAAAAGGGTGACTGTGAGTCTGATGTGATGTGGTTTCGATCTGAGGCTTCTCTTCCAAAGCAAGCTTGAGAATCTGCAAAACGAATCACGGGCAAAAGAAGCATGTGCTTCCCATTCTTCTTCCCATTAAGCGGCGTGCGGATAAGGGGCGCCCCGTGCAAACTGGAAGTGTTTGCAGACCACTCCAGTGACTTCACTTTTTCTCATGTCTTCCGTTTGAGCACAAAAGTGCCACAAGAGAGACAGGAAGTATGCATCTGTGACTAAGGGGTTAAACCCAGCAGGATGTGTGATAAAATTACAGTATATTTCCTATTTGATAATATTGGATCTATTTTGAGGTTACTTATCAGTTGGTTATTGTGCTAATAATTGCCATTAAAATTAATACTACATTTTGGGAATTAGGCAAAGAGCTAACAAGTTTGCTTTTACACAGAGCTTTCCAAAAGCAATCTGGGTAACTTGTTTCTGGAATGCAGCTGTGTAAGTTTTCATTAACATCTTGCAGGTGGAGCCTAATTTTAGTTCAGCCTTGAGGAGGGGGAATTGTTTTCCTCATGATAGGCTCGCACCACAACAGCAGCAAAGCAGGTGGGGCTTCACCAAGCACTTGTTTACTTTCCTGTTTTTAAAAAACAGATGATTCATGTCTTTAATCATACAGTTTCTACTTGATTTTAACATGTCTTTAACAGAATAGTCTGGAGTACATTTGACCTATAGTTACTCAAATGTGAAACAAAAGCAATGAAATGGAAAATGATAAGAAAATGAGCACTGAATCCTAAATATAGTGGAGGAGAAGCCAGTGAATGGAGTGAAGTAAAATTTAGAAATACATCTGTTTGGCTACAAAAGCATTTCAAAATGCAACCTTCCAGATTCTAGTTGGGCAATTTGAAGTTGGCTCAGTTAGAAAGTTCAGTTTTTTCCCCCCTGCCATTGAGAGGAGGAGACTATTAGGGAAAGGAAGCAGTTGCTGAGAAGAGGGGAGATGTGGGGTCAGAAAGGGCAACTGAGATGTGGATTGTTTTCTCTTCCAAGTTTCCCCCTCCCCCTGCCTTTGCATCTCAGGGAAGGACTGGCAATCAGCTTAAATTTTAGGTCCTTAGGTCCGAAGAAGAAACACTGTAAGGAATCAGAGAGTGATTAATGACAGTAATTTCTCTTTTAATTTGTTTAGGAAATATCTTAAGCTGTATGTTAGACTTCCAGGGCACAGACCCCATACCTTTGCTTTGTTTCATGTGTCCGAGCACAGTGAACCTACTGTGTGTGTTTCCTTGCATATTAGGACAGTGCAGTAGGGCCATAATACTGCTGCGTCTCCCAGGTCCTCTGGCTTAAACAAGTGCCTTTGAATTCTTCTGCCCTGTGGGGTGTGCAAGAAAATTCCATTACCTCCACAGAGAGGGGGCAGCTTCACGAGCTTCTTTCTTTCTATTCAGTCTCTTGGAATGGATGGAATTTGTGATTATGTTATATAGAAGTCTATTGTTCTGAACCTTAAAATAAAACTTTTTTTTTTTTTCTTAAAAGCCCTCTTCTGGACCCTGAAGGTCACCGTTCAAGGGCTTTACCTTTATAAAAGTTTTCAACCTGGGATACAGGTTTGTCCATGAATAAGCTTCAGAGTACTCATGAACAGAGTTTCTTGTGGTTTTTTTTTTTCTTTAGTAAATTTTTTGAATGTGCATTTTTGTCTCAGGAGATAGTCCGCAGCTTTTTTTGGATTCCCAAAAAGAACTTATAACCCCCAAAATCTTAAGAACTATTGCCTTATACAGAATATTTTCAAATAAATAGAAATATTTAATATAAAGGAAATACAGCAGTTTACTTGGGCTAATGATTTTAATGAAAATAGAGTACTTGTCAGCCCTCCTCATATAATGAATCTCAGTCTGAATCAGAACTAAGCTCACACTGTAAGTCTGCCTAGTTCCTTTCCCTGGGATATCATCATTCTTTCCTTATCTTTAACCTGTAACTCTGCTAAATGAGCATCTAAAAGGCTCTTAAAATTTTAAGATGTGCTTCTTTATTCAACATATATTTGTTAAGAGCCTATTACATTTAAGGTACTTCTATTTTTTTTTAATTTTGTTAATGTTTATTTATTATTGAGAGACAGAGAGACACAGAGCGTGAGCAGGAGAGGGGTAGAGAGAGGGGAAGACACAGAATCTGAAGTAGGTCTCAGGCTCTGAGCTGTCAGCACAGAGCCCGACATGTGGCTCGAACTCACAAACCACGAGATCATGACCTGAGCCAAAGTTAGTCAGTTAACCAACTGAGCCACCCAGGCGCCCCGTTTAAGGTACTTCTAGATTTCAGAAATATCCAAGTATCCCTCTTTAAGAAGTTCCGGGGGGATGGGGAGGCCATGTCTGGGTAGCTCAGTAGGTTAAGCTTAGGACTCTTGGTTTCAGCTCAGGTCATGATCTCACAGTTCATGGGGTCAAGCTCTGTAATGACAGTGTGGAGCCCACTTGGGATTCTCTCTCTCCCTCCCTCCCCCTTTCTCTCTCTGCCCCTCCCCAGCTTGTGCTCTCTCTCTCTCAAAATAAATTGGAAAAAAAAAAAAAAAGTCCCTGGACCTCTGGCCAAGACAATCTACTAAGAAAAGAAATTCAACCAACTGATATGTTTGTAAAAAGGGAAAACATGTAAGGCTTCAGATTTTCAAAGCATGTTGTATATCCTCCTTTTGAGATATAAACACAAGGGCTAAAAACAAATGACTGTGACCCTTTGACAAGAACCATACCACACCCAAACCTGTTTGTTCTGCCACCGCATTCCGCCCACTTGCAGATTTGGCTGGAGAGGGGTGCGAGTGGGTGACAGAACGCAGGGATGGAACTTTAGATGTGGCTCCCATGAGTGGAATGGGAGGAAGGGTCATCAAAAGGCAAGAAGGAACCAGCTTGTTTGAGATTTAGGCTGAGACACTATGTTTTACTGATTTGATCTTACAGATTCCCTAAAGCTCCATCAGAATGTGATTTTACAACTCCCTTGAGGATAGTCCCACCGGAGATTGCAGGGTGCCCTTCCAATTTCTCGATAAGACTCAATCTTTGGATGAGATCTAGCTGTTACTGTTTCTTCCATTCCCCGACATCTGAGACTCTTCTCACTCTGTCCCAAATTTTTCTTTGATTCCAACTGGTTCCCAGGAGTAGGAAGACAAAGAAAATGGGAAATGAGTTGATATGGAGAGGAATGGAGTTCTTCTAATTCTCTCTCACTATGACCCAGACTACCAATAACAAATGCCATAGATTTGATCTTCTCAATATTCCATTTGCTTTTAGCCTCATTCCTAATGTAAAATTCAGTGCCCAGCTTCTATTCATCATGAAATCCAGGACTATCTTGGAGAGGATGAAATGGAGTTGCAGCCCTATTTCCAGAAACTATAAAAGGTTGTTTGGACTATCTATACAGAAGGCTTAGTTTTTGAACATTCCTAGTTAAAAATCATAGAATTGGCAAGCTGCCGTCCTCATTTCTAGGTTTTTCATTTCTTTGTAAATTTTTCCTACACTCCTCTCTAGGCAAACCTACACTTTTCCTGCTGAGATTCCTTAAGTCATAGAGTAAAATGTCACCTACAGGAAACATGTGATTCATTTCACTCTTGCTGGTAGGTACATTCAGAATTCTACTTCAAGTGGGTTATTTCCCGTTTTTTAATCTAAACCTTACTGTGCTGCCTGCAGTGGAAGCCTCAACCACAGCTGCTGAAATAAAGTCTTTAGAGAAACACTTACAGGAGACCTGGTTGTTCTGGTGCTGCTTCTGAAGACGTTCCAATCAGCAGCAGGGTAAAATTTATGGGATGCTTACGAGATTTTTGGTTTCTTAAAAGGGCACACATGCCGCAGAGAATCTGAACATATTCTATGAAAATTGTACAGACGTCTCAACCAGCACAAGGACATGCACAGAAAATTTGAGAGGTCACTGTCTCGCAGGACCACACTCAAATCATCGTAGACAAATGAGATAAATCCTGTTTAAAGACTTAAAATGAAAGAAAGTGACTCTGTAACTTCAACTGGGGAGCCCTGCCCATATCTGAGTGTTATCTTTAGTTCTAGGATCCGTCTTTAGCATTTATTGGTACCAGCCCTGCTTGGTTTTTATTTATTTATTTTTTAGCCTACAAGTTGGGTAAGGATAAACAAAACTTTGGCCAAAAACTCTGTAAGTACATGAGGATCTCTACTTTGTAGAAAAGAAATAATAATTTAAAAATAGAGAATATTTTGATAGCTCATACCAATATGTGTGGGTAATGTCTACTCTTACTTTTCTTTTTTTAGATTTTTGATTATCCAGAGTTATATAGGCTGAGACGAAATGGCTTGCATATAGGTATTGTAATCAAATTGAAGGACATATTTTATTTTTCTGTTTTTTTAATGTTTATTTTTGAGAGAGAGGAAGAGAGGGAGTACGCACGTGCACAAGTGGGGGAGGGGGAGAGAGAGAGAGAGAGAGAGAGAGAGAGAGAGAGAGAGAGACAGGATCCAAAGAGGGCTCTGTGCTGACAGCAAAGAGGGCTCGAACTCAGGAACCATGAGCTCATGACCTGAACCGAAGTCAGAGGCTTAACTGACTGAGCCACCCAGGTGCCCCAGGACATATTTTAAAAGTGTTTATTATACTCCCCCTACTGCTGAAGGAAGAGCTGATACTCCATTAACTTGGATCAGGTGGGACAACCCAGGTACTCACCAATCTTCACCCAGAAGTCCACAGTGTTGGATCCACTCCTTTGATGCCAGGCTATGGTGGCCTGGTGTGCCATGCTCTCTTGTAGATTACTCTTAGGTTAAAATAAAGATGGGGAAGAGTAAGCGAGACACAAATTGGCTTGTTAGGAAAATGAGAATTGGTGGCATCATCATCATCATAATAATATGATATTTTCATTGCTATAGCACATTATAATTTTCCAAGTATTTATCTGTAAGGTGATTTGACCTTTCTAATCATCTTTTGAGGAATATAGAGCAAGTATTATTAACTCATTTCATAGAATAGGAAATTTAAATCAGGGGTTGTAGAGTGGTAACAGGCATTGTTTTTGCCAGTATAATATTTAATAAAACATTAAATTAGTTGTCCATACTTCCAAAATCAGAGATTTCACATTAAAAAAACCGGTACCTGACTTATCTAGGATAGTTGAGAGTTCTGCCACCACTGAACAATCCTGGGTCCATGTGCTCCATGACAACATAGTACACTATTTCCTGTTGCCTTATTTCCACTCTCCATACTCCTTCAGCTTTACTCACCAGGCCTTTCTAGGCATATGATTTTTGCACCCATAATGTAGAAAAACTTTTATAAGGCCATGTCTTGAAGCCATGACGGAGGGAGGCCTCAAGTGCAGCTCTACTGCTGCATTTTTTAAATCACAAAATGTTCACACCGGGACTGTCTGGCCACCGCCACCTTCTCTCCTCTACTCCGAGAACCTTCTGTTCCACTGAACTTCTCACACTTACGCAAGAGGCCAGGTGCCCCCACGACCCCATGTGGTTGGTGCTCTTCCTTATGTTTTTCATACTGCCTGCTTGCCACTCTCCCTCTCCTTACTTTATTCTAGTGTTCCACTCAAAGATCTCCTGTTCTCTGTTCTCTACAGCCATCTCAGAGCCCACCCGCAGCTTCCCACCTCTCTCCATCTCATTATTTATTCAGCCTCTCATTTATTCAATAAGCATCCGATGAGTAGATTAAAAAAGGAAAGAGTAGTAGTATGCCAATGCACTAGTCCACACTTGACTTCCTCTTCTTCCCAGGTCTATGTTGCAGTGAAAACATTACAGTTTCCTTCTCTGTTTCAACTGTGGCTCCGTTCACTTAATAATAAAGATTTTGGGAAGAATGATATTGAGCCACATCTATCACACGCACTGTGTTCGAATTTGGGCAACCTCTCTTCGAGGCGGGCCAACATAAAGCTTGTCGATTCAGTATTTTTAATATATTTATCAAGAACGCTCCTTGCTTGAGCAGAGTAACTCATGTTTCCTTACCACTTTAGTAAACGGGGAAAACATTAATTCAAACTGTGGAGAAGGCAGTATTCTGCTTTCCCCCAGCAGGAGGCAAATTGGTGCCTGGCAGGGAAAATTATGTGTCGAAAAATAATGCAGAAGAGATAAGGGCTAGCCCCAGTTATTGATTCATTACACAGATATTTTTTAACAGCTATTGTGTTTCAACACCAAGCTAGGCCCTGCAGATAAGTAGATATGTAAGTAAATAAGAGCCGTGGATCTTATGGGTGTATACAGGCATCTGAACAGGGTATAGGGGATACAAAGGAGACAGCAGTCAATGAAATCAACAAAATCCATAAATAAGTTGATCCTTGAGCTGCACCCCAACAGATACAGTATATTTTGCATTCACTTTGAATAGGATATTAACGGGTACATAAAGAAAGTGCACAGTAGATGCAGAATAAATATACAGTATACAGTCTCCACACGCTACTAGAGTTTCAGGTCTGGTTCAATTACTTGCTAAAAATGTGACCTCAGACAAGTTGCTTAACATCTCTGTGCTTCAGTTGCCCCCTCTTTTATTTCAACGTTTATTTATTTTTGGGACAGAGAGAGACAGAGCATGAACGGGCGAGGGGCAGAGAGAGAGGGAGACACAGAATCGGAAACAGGCTCCAGGCTCTGAGCCATCAGCCCAGAGCCCGACGCAGGGCTCGAACTCACAGACCGCGAGATCGTGACCTGGCTGAAGTCAGACGCTTAACCGACTGCGCCATCCAGGCGCCCCAGTTGCTCCCTCTTTTAAAAGGAGATGATAATGTTACCTACTTTATAAATCGTGGCAATAAGTGAGATAACGTATGTAAAATGTTTAGCACAATACCTGGCACATGGTAATAAAAAAGTTAGCTATTAGAATTATTAGAATGTGATACAGTATAAGCCCATATAATACATTGCTTTGAAATAGCCAGCATCAAAGAAAAGATCATATATTTCAAAGCTCTTATTAATGAAAACTTAGATAATTAAAACAAAAAAAGAAATCTAATATCTAATATGCCTTGCATCATTTATGTTTCAGTTTTACATTTTATTCTCACTCATCTTAGTTAATGAAACCAGACCAGGTCTCATTATTGCCCTTCTGCAACTAACTGTTCAGTATTCAGTTTCTTGAATTTTTCAGCAAGGTTCATCTTCCAGCTGTAATGCATTAGCATAATACTACTGTGCTGATGCCTCCAATACTGCCTATTTCCAAAGAGATACATTCTCAGCAACAAATTTTTTACTTTCAAACTGATTAAAAATTGCGAGTCGTTCTTTTTCTTTGTTACATACCCACACATATATCTATACATCTTTTTTCGTAATATAGTATATTAATTATTTTATACTCCCCATCAGAATTATTATTATTAAACATATTATTTTATTAAGAATATTTTATGAATATTAAAATAACATATAAATGTACACACACAATGTTCTTCTGAGAAAAAAACTGTCTTAAAAAGCCTTTATTTCCTCCCAATTCTTTGGTTATTCCCATTTAATTCAGACTAAACTGAGGCTTGAGTCTTGTCTAGATAGAGTAAAATAACATTTAAAAGGTTTTTCACATTGGAGGGCTCAACATTTTCTTTTTTTTAGTTTTTTTTTTATTAAAAAAAATTTTTTTTAACATTTACCTATCATAGAGAGACAGAGCATGAGCATGGGAGGGGCAGGGAGAGGGGGAGACACAGAATCCAAAGCAGACTCTAGGCTCTGAGCTGTCAGCTCTGGTAGAGCCTGATGCCGAGCTCAAACCCACAAACTGCAAGATCAAGACCTGAGCCTAAGCCAGACACTTAACTGACTGAGCCACCCAGGTGCCTCTAGGTTTATTTATTTTTATTTATTTTGAGAGAGAGAGAGAGAGAGAGAGAGAGAGAGAGAGAGCACGCGAGTGCACAAGCAGGGGAGGGCAGAGAGAGAAGGAGAGAGAGAATCCCAAGCAGGCTCCGCACTGTCAGCACAGAGCCTGATGCGCGGCTGGATCTCAGGAACCATGAGATCATGGCCTGAGCAAAAATCAAGAGTTGGATGCTTAGCCAACAGGAGCCACCCAGGCGCCCCATCTACATTCTCTTGATAACATACTTTCCTTTCATTCTGTGCTTACCTACCAGAAATAATCTTAGGCCTTTCTATGTAGTAAAAAAATATATACTATTCTATGAAAGAATTAATTCAGCTTTTAAAAATACAGTGTAATAATGGGATGCCTCGGTGGCTCAGTTGGTTAAGTGACCTCCTTCAGCTCAGGTCATGATCTTATGATTTGGGAGTTCGAGCCCTATATCTGGCTCTCTGGCTCACTGCTGTCAGTGCAGAGTCCACTTCAGATCCTCTCTCCCCTTCTCTCTCTGCCCCTCCCCTGCTAGTGTGTGCGTGCTTTCTCAAAAATAAACATGAAAAAAAAAAACCACAGTGTAATAAAAGTACAGTTAAGGAAAGTTATATCGGTAGAATATTATAAGAGATCAGGGCTTTATTATTTTCTAATATCCACTCAAACTGAAATAATAAACATTACCAAATAGAGTCTCTTCCCTCTTTCAAAGGCATTTTTTATTTTACAAAATTGGGATGATCTCCTACCTGGAAGCAAAGTACCCTGTCCTGTATTATCGTTTCCATATCACCTCTTGGGCTAGCACAGGGAAGTTTGAGATTTGCGTGAGAGCAGCTTCAGAATTGCTTCCCTGTCTGTGTTCCTCTGTTGTGTTCCAGGCCCTCTGCCATGCTCTTGGGCAGCACCTGGCACCATTGCCCTTTTCGTATCTTTTCCCTTCTTCTCATGTCCAAGGCTTATGTCCCAGACTGATACACTGTTCATTATTTATTATAGAGAAATCGAGCCTTCCCTTTATCCAGTGTTGCCCATCAGGCTATGCCCAGAAGGACCTTGACTTTCTCAACTTGAGCGTCTCATCCAGATTTATCTGTTGTTTTTTTTTCCCTTAACAAAAGAACCATTCATGTGTGATAGAAGTGTTGCTCCTGCCAAAAAGGCAAGTAATAGTGGTCTTCTTTCTTTTTTATAAAACAAGATTATAAGGCTTCTTTTCCTCTCCATTCTGTTGATTTTTTAAAAAAATATATTAAAAAGTGTGTTCTATGTGTAAAACTGGGTGCAGAACAATTCAATCTTTACTTTCAATAACTCACATTACAGGAAATGAATCCCAGGAATCTGAAGCAGATAGCTACATACATATGTTTTGGTGTCCTCAGGATAGAAAGAACTTCACATGTGTTCATGGAATCTCTGCCAATTATTTCTGAGGTATTTGGAGAATGAGGCGGAATCAAGAAAACTGAAGATGAGGCGGCACCTGGGTGGCTCAGTCAGTTAAACATCAGACTCTTGATTTCAGCTCAGGTCATGATGAGATCACGTTCCAAGTGTGGCTCTGCACTAACAGTGCTGAGCCCACTCTCTCTCCACCTCTCTCTCTGCCTCTCCACCCCTGCGCATGCACATATGCACACACACACACACACACACACACACACACACACACTCTCTCTCTCTCTCTCTCTCTGTCTCTCTCTCTCTCAAAATAAATAAATAAATATTAAAAAAAAAATACAAATGCCTGGGTGGCTCAGTCAGTTCAGTGTCCAACTCTTGAGTTTGGCTCAGATCATGATCTCATGGTTTGTGGGTTTGAGCCCCACATTGGGCTTTATCCTCACAGTGCAGAGTCTGCTTGGGATTCTCTCTCTCTCTCTCTCTCTCTCTCTCTCTCTCTCT